GAACCTGGAATAAAACAGTTGCCGCACGTGAAGCAGAGAGAAGGAAGCTCCTACAATTATTTCATGTCCTTTCACCCAAACACTGCGGTCCATTAGCAACAAAATGACACGTGATAAAAACCTGGGGAGAAGACGTGTGTCCGCGCAGAGGAGAGCCAGAACAGTCTTCATTAACTCGACGCAGAAGTGCCGCTCAACAATCAGCCATTAATTAAGTGTCAGAAGCGTTTAACAGTCGGACGCACTGTCAGCCCCGTTCTAATGCTAGACAACAGCTTCAATCGACCACAGAGAAAGCTGCGTCTATGCCAGCGCCGACGACTTAGACGACTCATACTTTCTAAGAAAGGATGGATTCATGGATTCTTTTCAAGAAATATAGGAGACAAGAAGCTGCATCATCTCAGGAACAGAGTAACTAATTATCTACAGGAGCTACTACTTTGTTTGTGCAGTAATTTGATTGTAATTAGAACTGTATTCTCTGTGTTTTTATGAAGACAGGGATTGTATTGCAATCCAATGCCACAGATTTGTATTTTGCGCACACAAACATAAATCAGACACACATACAGAGACTTATGTGTTTTTAGGTATTTTAAGTCAACATAACCTGTTATTTATCTTAAACTCAAACCATTACATATGGTAATACCACACCGACCACAAATCTTATTTGCATCTCATGGGGTGCTTGCAAACTTTTCCCTTGTTGTCCTTCAAAAAGAAAACATTTTCAATTGTCCAAATGCATGCAGGGAAACACATTGTGAGTGAATGCTCAGGGGAATCTCACCCATATGGTGCTAAAAAAAAATGAAACTGAAATACCTTACGCTGAGTCACTGCTTGCAGGAGAAGAGATATGAGTTAATAAAAACTGGATCTTCACATGCCTGAGGCTGTGGCTACATAAAGGATGGACTGTGGCTCAGTGTTGGAGATTTGAACGTCTCCTTCAGCAAGGCCTTCTTTGGTACGGATGTAAAATCATCCCAATCCTGATTGGGTGAACTGTCGGTGCGTTATGAAGCATAACATTAAACGTTATACACAAAGCATCATTAATGCAGTAATCACTACTATCCTCAAAGAGACAGTAGACTGAGTTACAGTAACTGTTGAACAAAGCTGTTGATATAATGAGATGAGATGAGATTGCAGTAGAAAAGAAAGACTGAATATTTAAATATTGCACAAAAGGAATAGTACTGTAGTGTCACACATCTGGAATAATAATGTCAAATACAATATTGAACATCAACAACAGTGTTATTGAAACTATTAACTTTGTGCGTAGAATAGAATAGAACAGAATGCTAATTCTGTTAGCTGACAAAATAGTCAGTAATCCATTGTTTTCACACAATAATGAGGAGAAATTGTTAACTCAAACAATAACGTGTGCAATCGACGATCTTTGTTTGTTTAAGAGAAGAAACGGAGAAAACTCCCTCGTGTTGCTGGTATAAATAACAAGCTAAAAAGCAGAGGCGATAGCCGGAAGACATTTTTTAAATTACAGTCATTTTCTTCCCATTCCTATATCCACACTGCAAAGTTAATTAGAGGTTGAGCTGTTATGACAGCACAACATGCCAACATGTCTTTTATCTCAACATCATTAGGAACTCATTGAACACATTCAAGCAGATGGAGAAAGTCAAGCTCAGTTTGAAACTGTTGCTGCTGTGTCAGAAAAAAAAAAAGAACAACCAACAAATCAGGAAGAATGAGAGGAAGAATAAAAAACCCAGCAGCAGCAGCTGCCTGGTTTAAACAGCTGAGCAGAGGTTTTTGTTTTCAATGAACACAGCGCACCGATGAGTGACTCTTCATATACGTTACTGTGTTAATGTTCAGTGGCTTTAATATTAACAATGGTTTGGGTCCATGAGTGATCCAGTCTACTGACAGGGAGCTACCAGATAAAAATGAACTAAAAATAAATCACAAGATGAGGGTTAACAAAGCGTGCTACGTAGCTGTGTACTAGACACAGAGAGAAACTATTAATTAATCACTCGTTAAGGTCTCGATGATGTATAAAACATGTTTACATATGAAACTGAAATGAAAACAAACTTCTAGTCAATTAAACTACATTACAAATGAAACTGTGTTTCCCCAGAGGCCACTACACATGCATTTAAAAGTGTCCAGAACATTCCTGTACAAGCTGTGACTCTGATGACGTGATAGGAAGAGCAGGAGGGCTCGTTATGATTACACAGCAGGCGTGGCGCCATTCTCCCTTATATAGATAATCTCCACAAAGCAGTGCTAATATTGCGAGACCGCATTATGCAAATCAAAATCATTCAAACAATCAGCGCAAATCGTCTTTTGGCAAACAATTGCTTTTGTGAATCATCTCTAATCGCGGCTCGCTTGGAGGGTCGGCAGGATATAAAACCCTCTCAACCCGCCCTTCAAAATTAAACACACAGGAGAAAAAATGTCATAATACACCCCTTTGGTTAAACTGTGTGCAAGTCCATTTGGAAATAGAACCACAGATTGAATCCATTTTTTTCCTTTTCTTCTTCTCTTTTTCTCCTGTCATCACACTCTGGTGTGGCACTCTCCATGACTTAAGGGGACAGGCCTCATTTTTCAATTAAGCGCTGGGCTCATTCACGCCTCACTGCACCCTCAATGCACTCATCTAATCAGCCCCCGCCTCCTCCCACTGAAAGCGATATGAACGTGAAAGCGAGGGAAGGAAGGGAGGGGGGGTCTGGGGGGGCGGCTGAAGGGAAATGGATAGAGACACTATTGTAGATTAGCTCGGTTCGATGGAGAAGACGACTCGCCGCTCACTTCCACCAAAATAATATGCGGCCGCCTGCAAAACCCTCATGTTTATGTGAGGATTAAACGAGTAAGTAAGCTGACCCACTTGGGAAGCATATTGATCATGCAACTAAGACACAGACGAGGCGAAACATGACTGGATAGTCAGTGCCGTATGTAAATATTCGAGAGAGAGAGAGAGAGAGTAAGGAACAGCATTCATGTTATACAAAAAAACAAACAAAAAAAACAGGCTCTCTAAGGTAAGACAAAAAAAAAATCTGCATCAGTAAAGGAGAGGGATGAAACCAAGAGAGAGGCAGTGGGACAATGGCGGTGAATAAAGAGTACAGGAGGAAATCGAGAAATAAAATTCCCCACTCCTCGTGGATATTTTCAGGAGCTCGGCACGTTTCTAATTCCTTTTGCTTCCCCCTCCACCCCCAAAGCTGCTATATAAAGTGTTTTGCAAAGAGATGCTGTAGAGAAAAGGCAAGAATAAAACTAAAAAAAGGAGTCTGGTGGTTGCCATAGTTACAGGAGAGGAGAGATTCCAGAGTGGTCTCAGCCATTAGGCATGGTGTTGAGGAGATGGACTACACAGCACTTAGGCTTATTGCAGTGTGGGCTGTAACGGAAAAGACATCTAATGTAGACATGACGGGCTCAAACCAAGAGAGTAGACAGTTAGTATAGGACTGAAAAAAAAGTACCTCACACTGCCAAATCTTATAATGAGAAAATCTGCTCCGTCTAACGCAGTGAGAGAGAATAGGGAAGGAGGACACAAACGTGTGCTGGTTTTGTATGTGCCTGAAAAAGAGCTACAATTGCCCTCTCACTGTTCTCACTCCATTAAAGCCAAGAAATGTTATCATCTTTGGCCACACAGTGAATCACTAGTCCACAAAAAGGTTCCCTTCTAGCAAATTAAAGGTTCATGAACTTTTAAATTCCATTAAGTTTTATTTTGGTTCTGAACACTGAACACACACAAAAAAAAAACAGACTGCCAATTTAAGAAATATTCATAAAAAGTAACTGGATTTTACCTTAACATGCTACACATTTATGCTACACAAAACGAACATTTCACTGGTTTAAATGGTATAATTATATAAACACACAGTGAGATAACTCTTAAAATAATATTTTTAAATTGGTTTGCCAATTTTTGCTTGAGCTGAAGGTTAACTACGTGTTGTACTGTAGGGAAGCTTGAGGAGAAGTGAAGCTACAGTAATACAAATACGTAATAAGAAATTGTGGTTAAATAGAGAAAGGGTTCGGGTCTGACACCAATGATAAAGTCAAGCATTTGTTGAAATATTGAAATTGAACGTAGAAGGTGTGATGCTGCTGTCAGCTTCACCTGTACTCTACACAGTTTCCATCCTCAGCACCGGGGGCTTCCTATTTTTCCCATGTGACGCGGATCACTGCGGCTGGAGTTGACAATGTCAAGTGAGGTGGTTGATGGGTATTAAATCCCTTGTACTCAATCCCCCTGCTGCTTGATATTCCACCTTGAGCCTCCCTCTGGATTTGGGATTTACTTTTTTTTTAAGATTATTCCCGTTTATCACACCATGCATCATTTTCATTCTATGAAGCAAATGTTAATTATTACCAGGATAGCAGGAGTGGACAAAAATGTATTTTCTGTGTGGTCAGTTTCTGAACTCTACCAACTCTATTTTCATCAGGTATTAATTATAGATTAAAATACACACAACAGTTGTCTCCAACAAGAGAACACCCTTTTTTTTTCTTCTCCTATCTTTGGTTTTATCTACGTGTGTAACACGTTAATAGACCATGGGAGGCGCTCCAGTGAGCCATATCCACACATTAAAAGCATCTCAAAATTCCTGTCAGGTTATTAGCCTAATTAGTCCCTTACTTAAATTGTACGCTTCGCCCCCAGTCCCCCCCATCCCCCCAAGTGTGTGGGCTTGAAGACTGCCATCATTAATATCATCCAAGCATGGGTCATAAAGCATTCTATGTCACTATGATGAAGTTGCCTGCCCTGGCCTGGGGAGGAGAAAATGAGAACAATGCTAATGGAACAGATTCAAATTAGATCATGGAAAGTCTTCATTAGACTTGGGAGTATGTTGCTATCCTTTCTCTACAATAGTAAGTCCAATATTCCATAGTATTCCCTCCAAAAACCTCATACATAACTAAATATAGCTTACCTTCATAGACAGCTTTAAATCCCTGCCCACTGACGGCGTAGTCCGACAGTAGCCACAGTGTGAGCCGGGAGCCTGTGCTCACAATGGGTGAAGGCAGCTGGAACCCAGTTAATCTAAAAACAGACAGACAGAAGGACAATATTGGTCAGTCAAAAAAATAAATAAAAAATCTTTTTTTACAAGGTCGTGTACAAAGCCTTTTTTTCTTTTTTTGCTCCATGGGGCATTCAGAAACACATTTGCTTGATAGGTTTATGAATAATCCACTAATTATTAATGTTCAAAAACGCCAACAAAGGAAGACGCAGCACAAAAGAACAAAACTGCAATCACATAGCTATTGTGAACTACGAACAGTGGGAAGAAACACAGACAGACAGTATCCCAATCAAAAAAGGGTTTTCTAACAAAGTTTGAGGTCTTACAGCACGGAAAATATCGCAAACTCAACATTCAGATTCTAAAATGACAATGTTGCTGGCTTTGTCTTTCACTCTGATCACTGTCAATGTGATCTATGTTGATCCATATGATCAATTTCAAATTTGTTTTCATCCTAGTCATGGACTGGCACCGTTGAAACTGACGTCTCTACCTAACAACCTGTGGAATATAATCAGTAGTTTAAGGCTCTTGGGGAACTCAATTTTCAAAAGATTGGAGCAAAACGAAATTGGCAATTCCACTGAATTAGTCCAGTGGTTTCCAAACTTTTTTGGCTCGTGACCCCAGTATGACATCACAAATATCTGGCGACTCCAGAGACATGTTTTTTTTACTTCTGTAGTATTATTGTTGATCATTGTTTGTTATGCTGTGTTGCCAAAGTAGTAGCCAGATTAGTGATCACAAAGTGAGTTGGAAAAGTAATATCTTAAACAAAGGATAATGAAAAAAAATAATAAGTTACTGCAACATCTTAGAGTGGCCACAGTTAAAATCTGAAAGACAGATTATTCCAGTTTTTCCATCTTAGCTTCATTTAAGCAAAAACCATGTGCAACTATTAATAACTCATTTAATTAAAAACACTGGATTAGTCAATAACAATTTAATACTCTTCTGGTACAATTTTGTTAAAAATGTAAAAGAGAAACGTTCAAAAGGTTAAAAATCAATATTTATTCTAAAGAAAGTGTTAATGTTGACATTTGAACATTTACTCTTCTGATTTTGTATAACTAGCCTTTAAATATGTGAGGTGTGTAATAAAATCCAACGCGTACAATATTGGCCTGACACAGATAACTGAAATGCTAATTAGCACCGTGCTAAGATGGCATCAGTACTGTGTGCCGGAGTGTTGCTACTGCATTTATTTCAAGTACAGTTTGCCGGCCCCATATTTGGCAGTCCAATTAGTGTTAGTACTAGATCTATTTGTGTAAATAGTTTTAATGAAGGACAGTGTTGTTTGGCTCTTTATCAATATGTATCAGACTTTTTAATCAACTAAGTAAATGTCAGACTTTTCCAAGCTCATGGCAGCAGTTAGGAAAGAAAGAGATAAATGACCTCCGTGTGTATGATTTTACTCATGTCAATTTCTCACTGTGGGAAATCAGCTTAACGAAGACGCACTCGTTACAGGAACCAGGGCCCTTCACTGACGGCACGAGGAGTTGGAAGGCTGCCATTTCAGCTCGAAAAACTTTTGTTTTCATCATATATGTTGCAGTAAGGTACTGTATTAAATATCAATAGCGTCTGGAGTCAAAATGCACGGTGTCAGAGGATTGCATTATAGTATAAAAAGGCCCGCACAGTATACACAACATGTGAGGGTGAATGCAACTCACTGTGGAGACGGGATGGTTATGAAAATCAATGTCAACAGAAAAAAAAGTCAAAAGGGAGGAGGACATTGATTCTAGCCATAAATACTGCCACAACACTTTGAGTTCCTTGGTAAATAAAAAAACACTGGGAATAAAAGACGTCAGTCCGAGCGCGGCCGGACATGAAGAACAAAGGTGGAACACAGGTAGTTGGCTGAATGTCTGAATTGCCTGTAGATACATACCTGGAGCAGAAGGTGAAGGATAAACAAATAAAACTTAGACTGGGACTCGCTCTGACAGAGAAACACGGATGACTGGGTCAAAAGACCAGCGACGAAGACAGTGTGGGTGGAATATTTACACACAAGGAAGCAGACAGTTATCAGGACACAGGTGGAGCTCGTCAGACAATCATGGGGAAAACACAGGTGCAGGAGATGAGGCTGATTACAGTGGAGCAGACCTGGACCAACACACACTGTAGTAGCAGTCAGTGCACACGTGTGGAGGAGGATTAAATATGGCCTCGTGATATGGGCTGTGTCCTGCGAAAATGAACCAGAGGATTGTCTGCTATCTAGAGAAAGATGGCAGATATGATTGCAGCTAAAGTGGCACAAAAGAACAGAAAGTGTATCGAGTGCCTGTTGAATTGCTGAAGAGCTGGGGGGTCCACAGCTTTTTGGCTTGGGGGCTACTATTCAAATGACCAGGTTAAACATTAAATATATATTTACGCATATAAACCGAACATATTGTACATTATATATGACATTACAGTTTGGGGTAAATGCATGTAACTGTATGGGACAATACAAATACAAGATCACACACTATCACACTCACTATTTTTAAAAATAGTGAGCAGCACTTTCTTTGTGATCCACTCTTGGATCAGGCACCTCTGATGTAAGAGTTGAAAAGATACGTCAACAGAAAGTATATTTTAACATGTTGACTTAATTAGGGTTAGGTTATGTTTACTTCTAATATATTTAAAATAAGATTCTTTATAATTAAGTAAATGAACTGACTGAGATCAAAATGTCAGCATCCCTTTCACTGGTAGGCAATAAATTTAAATTTCAATCATTTCTTTATTTATTCTCGTAAGCAGGCCTTACTTGGTGATTAACCTGATTTTGTCTGATATTTTTTAATGGTATGGAAGGATTAATAATTGAATTATTCCAACAATTAGACTCAATTTGGTAATTGAAAACAATCAACAAGTTGAGGTACTTCTTTGTAGATGACCAGAGTCTTTGGATTTCTTTATGGTGAAAGAAACTTCTGGAAATCGGTTTCAGTCAAGGCGCGGGTGTTTTAACAGAAGCCAAATAATGTCAACAATAATGACGAGTACTTGGGTAAATTCATAACAGTGACTTCAGGGTGCCACTGTGTGTGTGTGTGTGTGTGTGTGAGTATGCAAAAAGCAGAGGTCCATTAAGAGGGCTTTCCACCTCACTGGCCTCAGCATCATCTTGATGAGGAACCTCTGCTTCTAATTATCCAACCAGAGCTCATGGGAAAAGGAGAGAGGAGGGCGGGGGG